TTATCTTATATTCAAAAGATACTTACATACATATTTTTGAAAAATTAGTTCAAGCATGGCGCAAAATGCATTTACTTGCACTAAAGTAATAATGGCTTGCATTCATCTACAATCTACAAATAGATGGTCACATTAGGCACAGCTTTAGTGGAGTGAATTTGTATCGCAAACCTTGTCTTTTTTAAATGGTTTATCTACCCAGCTCCTCATCAGTACCTGGACAGGTTAAATGGGTTCGGTAATTCCACGAGGAATTGTACTGTCCCGTAAATGGATGTTTTCATTGGATTTTTTCGTACAGAGGCTGCTGGAGTGAGTGAGTTGACTCCGCTTTTAGGAACGTCGAGGGGCACCAGAAATGGGCTTCACACATTTTACCCATGTGGGGAATGGAACCCTGGTCTTCAGCGTGACGAGCGAACGTTTTCACCACTAGGCTACCCTACCGCCCCCTGTATCAACCGTTCATTTCGTTCACCATTCGATTAAAGATTTCTTTATTTAGGAGATAAACATCATTTGTTGGCCAATTTCCGGGTGTTATTGAGTATTTGAAGCACGGGAATTCATTTGGAACTGACGGCGTCAGCCGGAGGTTTTAAATGAAATATTCCCGAGCTTGAAATACTCAATAACACCCGGAAATTGGCCAACATATGATGTTTATCGACATTGTAAACACAAAAGTAAACCAAAAGGTCCACACACGTTTTTGTGTCTGCACTCATTGACATCGAGTACGGGTACAGCAGTGAAATGTCACCAGACGGCGTTTCGGCTGTCTCCCATGGTAGCATCTTGAACTGCTCATTTGTGACGTCATTCGGACTTTACGTCACAATATGATTTTAATGACGTCATCACAGCTGGCGACGTAACAATACAATGGTGTGAGCGATGTTTGCATGTATTAATACGAAACGAATTTCCTGGAATCGAATACTATTTGATCACGTTTTTCAACCAGTCAGATTAAAGAACACAGTGACTTTTGGTTTACAATACAGTATAAAGGCCCAAGGCCCAGAATATATACTTAATTTTGTTAACATATGCTGCACTTACCGGTAATATAGAGGCAGATGTACAATCATATGCAAAGAAAGTGTGGTACATATTTCAAATATTGCTAAGAAGAGAACAATATGTTTGAGGTCACAACCTAGCACGATACGTCCACAAAGTTCCATGTTTTGTTTATATGTGGTGATTTCTTGCTTGAAACGTTGGGATTAGCGCACCTCTGCTCTCCTGTTCATCCTGCTTCTGAGGTTGTTCGCATTTGACATTTCTCATGACTGGTGTAAATGTTCAATCTAAGATGGGTTTGTATACAACTGACGAAGCTGATGTACAATGTGATGCCATTACTAATGATAGTTGTCGTGTTGGGTATGAGCCAGATGGACAAAGGGTAGGGACTACTTTATCTTGGTTGTCCTCGATTAGATGATATCAGGGGCGTAGCTACCATTATGAAAAAAAAGCCCGGGTTGACACATGATTGTTGCTAAAATGGTTGGGCAAGCCCTCAATACTATCTAGATATAAAGATTTGCAACCTATCGGGCTTACACGAAAACAGTGGCTTGCTGGATATTAAACCGTAGCGATGTAATAACCTTGATCTCTGTTGATTGTCGGGTTGGGTTGATTGTTCATTGTTGTCTAACTGATTTTTCGTATTTAATCATAAAAAGAGATGTCTCTTTGTGCTATCATAGTTGACCAATGACATCCACGTGTCACAGCTGAAACCAACTTTCGTGTTCAGTTGAGAGACGAACGAGTTGTAATATCCTAAACGCTGGATATTTTGAACAACGAGGAGAGTTCTATTGATATACAACTTCTTTAATATAATATGAGCGACGTTTCTGTGTAGCTACACTAACACCGTTATCAAGCAAATGATGTACAATACTAGATGGATATTTTGACATATCGGATTAAAGGCAAGAATGTTATGGATGTCAGCTTCTTTATTGTGATGGACACGACGCAGTATATTCCTACTCCTTCATCAGGTGAATGAAAGAATTAGGATTGTATGGGAAATTGTTCCTTTTTGTGTATATTGACTGATAGATTTCTCGAGCAAAGTAAATGCTTGATATTATACATTTAACGTTTTCTTGTTGTAATGATATTTGCATTTTATGTTCATTCATTGATGTACCTGTTTATTCAAATTATTGTATATAATATTTTATGTCAGAAAGCTTCTCATTCTTCGATCCTCTGATAAGTGTCGCTTCGTGTTGGGCACAAGTAAAACCAATCGAAATGATGGTACATAATAGGCAAATGTGCAGACATTACAAACAATCGATCCATATTTTGATGCTTTCAAAGTTGAAGTTTTGTTTCCCTATAAACAGGTCTCCTAAGTACGACCCCGGGTGAGCTTAAGGTGTTAGCGTGTATTAAATTGTCTTTCTATTCCTTTGTTATGATTGTATACCTTGTAGCCTAAAAATATTCAATAGACACGTCTAATATCCTTTTAATGTATTTTATTTTATATTACAAAGATACTTATAAACATCATTTTGAAAAAAATAGCTCAAGCATGGCGCAAAATGCATTTACCTCGACTAATGGCTGGCATAATTCATCTACAAAAGATCGTTACATTGGCCACAGCTTTATAATTGGAAACAATTACTGCAGTTGTCGCTTCTTCCATAGTTTATTTGGACAGAACAGATGTGCAAGCATGCATTTTCACTAAAATAAACTTATTTTAGTTGTAGTTGTATTATTTGAATGACATGATAAAAAATAATTCTCATATTTCTCAGCATTAGGATTAGACTTTGTGGAAAAGGCATGCACTAGCAATAATGTTTCACAAACTGATGTTGTCCTTGATGAATGATGAATGAACACTCCATGTACCATGTCAAACCCTCTAGGACGTCGGTGTTATACAGTACAAGCTTCTGGTTGATTGTTGTTGAAGAGAATAATAAAAATACAGAAGTTGACAACCATGCAAGTCCACCTTTATGTGTAATGAAAGATCCAAAGCTTGTCAGAACACATCCTTTGATCTATACTCACGTTCAAAAGAAACTTGACCGTGTTATTTTCGCTCTAAAGAAGATGTGTCTTTTCAAATATCGCAAAATAGTATGTCCTGAGTTCTCCCGTGGTAATGGAGACTTGAAATGTATAGCGGGAACATTTCTAAATCATGGTTGACAGGCAAAGTTCTTGTAAAATCGGTTTTCTCGCAGCTGCAAGAACCGCACGTGCAATTTTTGGTATAAAATGCCTCCATATAACCCGTTGTCATCTGTTTCATTGGAAAACCACAGCGAGAATGCCGAGACTTATAGCAGAACAACGTGAACAAGCCATCGGTATGATCGAAATTAGGGCTTCTCGTGGTCACATTGCAGGAACCTTTGGTTGCTCGACCACGGCTATATCCAACCTCATCCAGCGGCCAGACGAAGGACCGGCCCAGATCAGGGAGATCCCGCATCACAACGGCACATGAAGATCGGTACGTTCATAATCTCCACCTACGTAACCGATTCCTGACGGCAACGTCAACGGCAACGGCAACAACGGCAGTGGCTCGCCGCGCAGTGGACAGACAGTGGCCAGAGGTCTCCGTTCCTACGGCATTAGGAACTACAGACCATGCAGAGAAACTTTCCTGACACTTAGACATCGCCAGCAGAGATTACAGTGGGCACGCCAAGTACGACGCTGGCAGAGACGTGACTGGCAAATGGTACTCTTTTCGGACGAGAACAGGTTCTCTCTGTTCCATAATGACGGAAGGACACGAGTTTACCGGAGATTGGGCGAACGAATGGCTCCTTGTTGCATTCAGGAGGGAGTGTGATGATCGCCGGAGGCATTACTGAAGACCGGACCACTAGAGTTGTTGTGTTTGACGAGACACTGACTGGCCAACGCTACATCGACCATGTTTTGAACCCGGTAGTTCTTCCGTTCAGCACCAGCAGCGAGGGACTCTCTTCCAACATGACAACGCCAGGCCCCATGTTGCTGGAGTCGTTTGTACAGGACTTTGTAAATCGCAACAACGTCAACGTTCTACCCTGGCCTCCAAGGTGTCCTGATATGTCACCGATCGAGCACCTCGGGGACCACCTCGCTCGCCATATCACACAACGACAACCACCTCCACAAACGCGTCGGCTGTTTGATTCAAGCCCTGAGGAAAGAGTGGCAAAGAATCCCCAACAACGACATCAGACAGCTGACGTCATCAATGCGCAGACTTGTGTTTGCATGCATCCAGGCCCAAGGAGGACACACCCGTTATTGGCAATGCTATTTGACCACTCTGAAAGTCTTTGACAGTGTAAAGTCTTTATCTTTTAGCTATGTAAATTTCACATTTACCCCCTTCTGTAAATGGCACGTCATTGCATGATTTAATGTTCAATAAAACTTAATTGAATTTTATGATTTGCTTGTCAATAAATTTATGTTCATATTAGAAAAGTTTTAGTGACACGGGACTGACATTCTGCACACAGTATTTTGTCAGGCATCACGTTTTTTTGGACGTGAGTCTATAATGAGAACATGTGTTTCACAAGATTGCTGTCCTTTATTATATGACAACATTGCTGCTTTTTTATTGGATACATAATGGCAAAAGGGTGCTTTTCCTTTGATACATAATGGCAACAGGGTGCGTTTCCTTTGAAACATAATGGCAACAGGGTGATTTTCCTTTTGCTATAAAATGGGGAAAGGAAGTTATTTCTTTGGTATGTAATGACCACAGGATGTTTTTCATTTGATATGTAATGAAAACAGGGTGTTTTTCCTATCATATATGAAGGCAACAGGGTGTTTTTCATTTGCTATACAATGGGGAAAGGAAGTTATTTCTTTGGTATATAAAGCAACGCCACCTGGTGGTTCTTTTTCTCCTTTTGATACATAATGACAACAGGGCGTTTTTCCTTTTACAGGCTGTTGAATAGTTCAATTGAAAGCCTTACCTTTGATTGTCAGTGGGGTGCAGTTGACGCCGTCCCCTTCATACCTGTCGTTACAACGACACGTGTAGGATCCGTAGGTGTTGGTGCAGTTAGCGTTGACGTGACAGATGTCGGGAGTATTACACTCATTATGCTCTGGAATACGGCAAATACAGCAAGTACAGCCAATACACTTAATACAGCCAAAGAATACAGCCAGCAGCGCCAGTACAATATGTCAATTACAGCCAATGTACTTATTACAGACAAAGAATACAGCCAGCAGCGCCAGTACAATATGTCGATTACAGCCGATTCACTTATTACAGCCAAAGAATACAAGCCAGCAGCGCCAGTACAATATGTTGAATACAGCCAATGCACCTATTACAGCCAAAGAATACAGCCAGCAGCGCCAGTACAATATGTCAATTACAGCAGTACAGCCATATGTCAATTACAATATGTCCAATGCATGCACTTATTACAGCCAAAGAATACAGCCAGCAGCGCCAGTACAATATGTCGATTACAGCCAATGCACTTATTACAGCCAAAGAATACAGCCAGCAGCGCCAGTACAATATGTCGATTACAGCCAATGCACTTATTACAGCCAAAGAATACAGCCAGCAGCGCCAGTACAATATGTCGAATACAGCCACTGCACCTATTACAGCCAAAGAATACAGCCAGCAGCGCCAGTACAATATGTCGATTACAGCCAATGCACTTTATTACAGCCAAAGAATACAGCCAGCAGCGCCAGTACAATATGTCGATTACAGCCAATGCACTTATTACAGCCAAAGAATACAGCCAGCAGCGCCAGTACAATATGTCGATTACAGCCAATGCACTTATTACAGCCAAAGAATACAGCCAGCAGCGCCAGTACAATATGTCGATTACAGCCAATGCATTTATTACAGCCAAAGAATACAGCCAGCAGCGCCAGTACAATATGTCGATTACAGCCAATGCACTTATTACAGCCAAAGAATACAGCCAGCAGCGCCAGTACAATATGTCGATTACAGCCAATGCACTTATTACAGCCAAAGAATACAGCCAGCAGTGCCAGTACAAAATGTCGATTACAGCCAATGCACTTATTACAGCCAAAGAATACAGCCAGCAGCGCCAGTACAATATGTCGATTACAGCCAATGCACTTATTACAGCCAAAGAATACAGCCAGCAGCGCCAGTACAATATGTCGATTACAGCCAATGCACTTATTACAGCCAAAGAATACAGCCAGCAGCGCCAGTACAATATGTCGATTACAGCCAATGCACTTATTACAGCCAAAGAATACAGCCAGCAGCGCCAGTACAATATGTCGATTACAGCCAATGCATTTATTACAGCCAAAGAATACAGCCAGCAGCGCCAGTACAATATGTCGATTACAGCCAATGCACTTATTACAGCCAAAGAATACAGCCAGCAGCGCCAGTACAATATGTCGATTACAGCCAATGCACTTATTACAGCCAAAGAATACAGCCAGCAGCGCCAGTACAATATGTCGAATACAGCCAATGCATTTATTACAGCCAAAGAATACAGCCAGCAGCGCCAGTACAATATGTCGATTACAGCCAATGCACTTATTACAGCCAAAGAATACAGCCAGCAGCGCCAGTACAATATGTCGATTACAGCCAATGCACTTATTACAGCCAAAGAATACAGCCAGCAGCGCCAGTACAATATGTCGATTACAGCCAATGCACTTATTACAGCCAAAGAATACAGCCAGCAGCGCCAGTACAATATGTCGATTACAGCCAATGCACTTATTACAGCCAAAGAATACAGCCAGCAGCGCCAGTACAATATGTCGATTACAGCCAATGCACTTATTACAGCCAAAGAATACAGCCAGCAGCGCCAGTACAATATGTCGAATACAGCCAATGCACCTATTACAGCCAAAGAATACAGCCAGCAGCGCCAGTACAATATGTCGATTACAGCCAATGCATTTATTACAGCCAAAGAATACAGCCAGCAGCGCCAGTACAATATGTCGATTACAGCCAATGCACTTATTACAGCCAAAGAATACAGCCAGCAGCGCCAGTACAATATGTCGATTACAGCCAATGCATTTATTACAGCCAAAGAATACAGCCAGCAGCGCCAGTACAATATGTCGATTACAGCCAATGCATTTATTACAGCCAAAGAATACAGCCAGCAGCGCCAGTACAATATGTCGATTACAGCCAATGCACTTATTACAGCCAAAGAATACAGCCAGCAGCGCCAGTACAATATGTCGAATACAGCCACTGTACCTATTACAGCCAAAGAATACAGCCAGCAGCACCAGTACAATATGTCGATTACAGCCAATGCATTTATTACAGCCAAAGAATACAGCCAGCAGTGCCAGTACAATATGTCGATTACAGCCAATGCATTTATTACAGCCAAAGAATACAGCCAGCAGCGCCAGTACAATATGTCGATTACAGCCAATGCACTTATTACAGCCAAAGAATACAGCCAGCAGTGCCAGTACAATATGTCGAATTACAGCCAATGCACTTATTACAGCCAAAGAATACAGCCAGCAGCGCCAGTACAATATGTCGATTACAGCCAATGCACTTATTACAGCCAAAGAATACAGCCAGCAGTGCCAGTACAATATGTCGATTACAGCCAATTCACTTATTACAGCCAAAGAATACAGCCAGCAGCGCCAGTACCATATGTCGATTACAGCCAATGCACTTATTGCAGCCAAAGAATACAGCCAGCAGCGCCAGTACAATATGTCGATTACAGCCAATGCACTTATTACAGCCAAAGAATACAAGACAGCAGCGCCAGTACAATATGTCGATTACAGCCAATGCACTTATTACAGACAAAGAATACAGCCAGCAGCGCCAGTACAATATGTCGATTACAGCCAATGCACTTATTACAGCCAAAGAATACAGCCAGCAGCGCCAGTACAATATGTCGATTACAGCCAATGCATTTATTACAGCCAAAGAATACAAGCCAGCAGCGCCAGTACAATATGTCGATTACAGCCAATGCATTTATTACAGCCAAAGAATACAGCCAGCAGCGCCAGTACAATATGTCGATTACAGCCAATGCACTTATTACAGCCAAAGAATACAAGCCAGCAGTGCCAGTACAATATGTCGATTACAGCCAATTCACTTATTACAGCAAAAGAATACAGCCAGCAGCGCCAGTACCATATGTCGATTACAGCCAATGCACTTATTACAGACAAAGAAAACAAGCCAGAAGCGCCAGTACAATATGTCGATTACAGCCAATGCATATTACAGCCAAAGAATACAGCCAGCAGCGCCAGTACAATATATGTCGATTACAGCCAATGCACTTATTACAGACGATTACGAATACAATAACGGTGCCATGTTACAATATGTCGATTACAGCCAATGCACTTATTACAGCCAAGGAATATAGTCAGCAGCGCCACACAATATTACCAATATTACAAATGTTACAGCCACAATAATGTAAGCACATTTAATGTTACAACCAAAGCAAATATTAGCAAGCAGTGCCAGTACAATATGTCGATTACAGCCAATGCAATTTATTACAGCCAAGAAAATACGTGCCGAAGCAATATTGTCATTACAACAATATGTCGATTTACAATGATGCATTTTATTACAATGTTGCAAAGAATGACAGCCAGCAGCGCCAATGTACCGTATTGTCGATTACAGCCAATGTTACCGTAACAATTGCAATTCAATAGAATGCAATGAAGCAATGATACCATAACAATAATATCGATTACAGCCAATGCACTTATTACCAGCAAAATGAATACAACCAATAATTGCCAGTACACAAGCAATGTCGATTACAACACAATGCACTTATAAAGTGCAATTATTATAACAACACACAATATAGTCAGCAGCGAGAAGTAATGTTACCATCAGAACACAGCAATGCATTACCAACAACCAGAAGCAATGTTACAGCAGCGCCAGTACAATATGTCGATTACAGATGATGCACTTGTTACCATAAAGGACACACACATTACCAACACTGAGTAATAAATGTTACCATTACAGCACAATGCATATATACCAACACTGAAAGCAATGTTACCATGATGCCAATTGATAATAATATTACCAATACACTGCTAATGTTACCATCATTTATTACAGCACAAGAATTACAATGACAGCAATAATTACCAACGCTGAGTACAATGTGTACGATTACAACCAATGCACAATATTACCAATAGAATACAGTAGCAATATCACGCAATGTACCATATGTCGCAATGCTACCATAACAACTCATATTACCAATATTACAGCCAAAGAATACAGCCAGCAGCACCAGTAGCAATGTTACCATAACAATTACAGCCAATGCATATTAAGAGCAGCAAAGAGAAGCAATACCATAACAACAGCACAATATTAATATAAGCTAAGATTACAATGCACAATGTACCATTACAGCCAATGATAACAGCTTCTTACAGCAAGCAATGTACAATATATTACGATTACAAGAGCGAAATGTTACCAACACCAGCAGCGCCAGTGTTAATATCATGAAGCAATGTTGCAATGTACTATTGCAATATTACAATAAATGGCAATGAAAATAAGAATTGTTGAGCCAACAGCCAATATTACGCCAGTACAATATGTCGATTGTTAACCACCTGAACACAATTGTTACTACAGCACGGAGCAATTACAACTTACAATGCAATAAGAATAAATTGCCATAAATGTAGTCAGGGTAGTCAAATGTTCATACAACCGATAAATCAATATCCTCAAACTACTGTAAAATAAGTTAATACAATCAATATTGTCAATACAGTCAAAGCAGTCTTCAGAAACCTGCCTTCATCGCCACACTGTATACATATATTATCGTTTTGACTCAACTCAAAGTGACATGGCCTTTGAACAGTAATTACTCTCTTTTGTTGCCTTCAAACATCCCAAATTCATACCTTAATTGAAAAATATCTACCTTAGCGGTGACATCAACACTCGATTTTACCAGTACATTGTTACCAACACTGAGAAGCAATGTTACCATAACAACACACAATATTACCAACACTGAGGCAATGTTGACACTGAACACTGAGAAGCAATGTTACCATAACAAGACACAATATTACCAACACTGAGAAGCAATGTTACCATAACAACACCCAATATTACCAACACCGAGAAGCGATGTTACCAACACCGAGAAGCAATGTTACCATAACAACACACAATATTACCAACACTGAGAAGCAATGTTACCATAACAACACACAATATTACCAACACTGAGAAGCAATGTTACCATAACAACACACAATATTACCAACACTGAGAAGCAATGTTACCATAACAACACACAATATTACCAACACTGAGAAGCAATGTTACCATAACAACACACAATATTACCAACACTGAGAAGCAATGTTACCATAACAACACACAATATTACCAACACTGAGAAGCAATGTTACCATAACAACACACAATATTACCAACACCGAGAAGCAATGTTACCATAACAACACACAATATTACCAACACTGAGAAGCAATGTTACCATAACAACACACAATATTACCAACACTGAGAAGCAATGTTACCATAACAACACACAATATTACCAACGTTACCATAACAACACACAATATTACCAACACTGAGAAGCAATGTTACCATAACAACACAAAATATTACCAACACTGAGAAGCAATGTTACCATAACAACACACAATATTACCAACACTGAGAAGCAATGTTACCATAACAACACACAATATTACCAACACTGAGAAGCAATGTTACCATAACAACACACAATATTACCAACACTGAGAAGCAATGTTACCATAACAACACACAATATTACCAACACTGAGAAATGTTACCATGTTACCATAACAACACAATAATATTACCAACACTGAGAAGCAATGTTACCATAACAACACAACAATATTACCAACACTGAGAAGCAATGTTACCATAACAACACACAATATTACCAACACTGAGAAGCAATGTTACCATAACAACACACAATATTACCAACACTGAGAAGCAATGTTACCATAACAACACATAATATTACCAACACTGAGAAGCAATGTTACCAAATGTTACCATAACAACACACAATATTACCAACACTGAGAGCAATGCAATGTTACCATAACAACACACATAATATGTACCAACACTGAGAAGCAATGTTACCATAACAACACACACTATTACCAACACTGAGAAGCAATGTTACCATAACAACACACAATATTACCAACACTGAGAGAATGTTAATGTTACCATAACAACACAATAATATTACCAACACTGAGAAGCAATGTTACCATAACAACACACACACTGATTACCAACACTGAGAAGCAATGTTACCATAACAACACACAATATTACCAACACTGAGACTTGCAAATGTGTAACAACACACAATATTACCAACACTAAAGCAATGTTACCATAACAACACAATATTACCAACACTGAGAAGCAATGTTACCATAACAACACACAATATTACCACACTGAAAACACTGCAATGTTACCATACCAACACACAATATTACCAATGTTACCATAACAACACACCACAATATTACCACACTGAGAAGCAATGTTACCATAACAACACACAATATTACCAACACTGAGAAGCAATGTTACCATAACAACACACAATATTACCAACACTGAGAAGCAATGTTACCATAACAACACACAATATTACCAACACTGAGAAGCAATGTTACCATAACAACACAATATTACCAACACTGAGAAGCAATGTTACCATAACAACACACAATATTACCAACACTGAGAAGCAATGATACCATAACAACACACAATATTACCAACACCGAACAATGTTACCAACACTGAGAAGCAATGTTGCCATAACAACACACAATATTACCAACACTGAGAAGCAATGTTACCATAACACTGAGCAACCATAACAACACATAATATTACCACCACCGATGTACCAACACTGAGAAGCAATGTTACCCATAACAACAACAACAACACAAATATTACCAACACTGAGAAGCAATGTTACCATAACAACACAACACACAATATTACCAACACTGAGAAGCAATGTTACCATAACAACACATAATATTACCAACACTATTACCAACAACTGACCAACACTGAGAGGCAATTTATCATAACAATTCCAACACTGAGAAGCAATGTTACCATAACAACACCCAATATTACCAACACTGAGAGGCAATGTTACCTTAACAACTCACAATATTACCAACAATTAGAAGCAATGTTACCATAACAACACACAATATTACCAACATTGAGAAGCAATGTTAGCAGCACAACACACTATATTACCAGCAATTAGAAGCAATGTTAGCAGAAAACACGTTATATTACCAACACTGAAAAGTCAATAGTCCAGAAGACTCAACGAAAATGATAATTATTCTGTTTGGGGCGACTATTTGTGGTGAAACACGCAATTCAACAGGGAATATGATGGGTCAGTAGCCTGTTACAGATCCTATAGTTTGATACAGTGTCAGTAACTTCGTCAACTCACCTGAGCACGTAACGCCATCACCTGTGAAACCTGGGTTGCACACGCACCCGTCAGTTTGACGTTTGTTCAGACAAACAGCATTGGCATCACAAGGAACCACAATGTCTGTACAATTGTCGGCATCTGAAAAGAAGATTAACAAACTTTTCACATTTTGTTGCGTTTTGCTTTTAACCCTGCATTCAGAGCATTTAAAAGGAATAGTTCATTTCCCACACTTGAGTCTAAACATGATCAAAAGTGGTTGATGTTATGAACAACAATCCACGTCATCAACAAGTCACCGAGTTTGACCAGTCGCTGGAGACATGCACAAGGTATCCTAACCACTTTTGTCGGGTTCCATTGGGGCTAAAGGATACACAGCTACCAATAATGTTTTGATGTAGTAATCCTGGTGTACTGTAGTGATCCTGGTATACCAGCTGTCGTGTAATCCTGGTATACCACAAATCCTGGTATACCAGCTGTAGTGTAATCCTGGTGTACCAGCTGTAGTGTAATCCTGGTGTACCAGTTGTAGTGTAATCCTGGTATACCAGCTGTAGTGTAATCCTGGTATACCAGCTGTAGTGTAATCCTGGTATACCAGTTGTAGTGTAATCCTGGTATACCAGCTGTAGTGTAATCCTGGTGTACCAGTTGTAGTGTAATCCTGGTGTACCAGATGTAGTGTAATCCTGGTATACCAGCTATAGTGTAATCCTGTAGTTAATCCTGGTATACCAGCTGTAGTGTAATCCTGGTATACCAGTTGTAGTGTAATCCTGGTATACCAGATGTAGTGTAATCCTGGTGTACCAGCTGGTATACCAGGTATACCAGTAGTGTAATCCTGGTATACCAGTTGTAGTGTAATCCTGGTATACCAGCTGTAGTGTAATCCTGGTATACCAGCTGTAGTGTAATCCTGTAGTGTAATCCTGGTATACCAGCTGTAGTGTAATCCTGGTATACCAGTAGTGTAATCCTGGTATACCAGCTGTAGTGTAATCCCGGTATACCAGCTGTAGTGTAATCCTGGTATACCAGATGTAGTGTAATCCTGGTATACCAGTTGTAGTGTATACCAGATGTACCAGGTATACCAGATGTAGTGTATCCTGGTATACCAGTTGTAGTGTAATCCTGGTATACCAGATGTAGTGTAATCCTGGTATACCAGATGTAGTGTAATCCTGGTATACCAGCTGTGTGTAATCCTGGTATACCAGATGTAGTGTAATCCTGGTATACCAGCTGTAGTGTAATCCTGGTATACCAGCTGTAGTGTAATCCTGCTATACCAGAGGTAGTGACACATTTTCAATATGTGTCCCAGATTTGTCTTAATCATCCTGAAATAGTCTCAACCTGTACCACATGGTCATCGTTAGAAATACTGAACCGGTATCGCAAACTTTATATAATCATGCTAAGACTCATTGGCAATGGTAATATTGATATTATCATTTTCTCTCAGTGCAAGAAACTTAAAAAGAAAATATTTAGACACTTAAACTAATAACCCTTAAATTCCTAGCCTGACAATGTTTACCTGTTACGTACCCGTCCGTTTCAGGTACCACGCTTTCTCTCAAGACTAGATACTAGAACAGCATTGAATACTAGATATGATCATACTCACACAAACTCCCAATAATACAAGCTAGAAAAGATCACCTCCACCATATACCAGCAGGCTCGCTAATGAACATATTTCCGCAATTTCCCAACTACCAATTTATCCTTGCAAACTTGAAATATTTCACTTTAGAGGTTTGAAAAAGATATCCTCAGGCACTCTCTCTCAATACTAGATGTTCTCTCTTATTCTTGAAATATTTACTTTAGAGGCTCTCTTTTAGTACTAAATACTTGGAAATATCATCCTCAGGTTGTCTCTCTCTCTCTCTCTCTTGCTCGCACCCGTGAAGGTCCGGGTTAGAATGTACCTTCAGCAACCCATGCTTATCGTAAGAGGCGACTAACGGAATCGGGTGGTCAGGCTCGCTGGCTGGGTTTACACATGTCATCGGTTCCCAATTGCGCAGATCGCTGGTCATGCTGCTGATCACTGGATTGTCTGGTCCAGACTCAAGTATTTACAGACCACCGCCATATAGCTGGAATATTGCTGACAGCGGCGTAAAACTAAACTCACTCAATCACTCTCTTTCTCGCTCTCTCTCTATGTTAGATACTTGAAAACTTAAAATGTACTTCTTGTGAGTCTCTCTCTCAATAACGAATACTGAAGAGGCCATCTTCAGGCAGTATCTCTCCATACTAGATGCTTTCTCCTAATCTTGCAAACTTTAGTGTTTTACCTTATAGGCTCTCTCTCAGTACTATATACTTTAAAAATGATCCTCAGGCTCACTCTCTCCATACTAGATGGTCTCTCCTAATCTTGCATACTTTAGTCTTTTTCCTTATAGACTCTCAGTACTAAAATTTAGATACTTGAAAAAATCATCCTTAGCCTCACTCTCTCCATACTAGATGCTCTCTCCTAATCTTGAAATGTTTCACCTAAGAGGTTCTCTCTCACTATTGCATACTTGTAAAATTACCCCCTCAGGCTCTTTCTCGTTCTCAATAATAGATAATTCCTAATCGTGCACACTTAAAATATCTTTCCTCAGAGGCTCTCTCTCAGTACTAGATATTTGAAAATATCTTCCTCAGGCTCTCTCTGAAGAGATACTTAACAGGGTCTTAGAGGCTCTCTGTCTCAGTATTAGATACTTGCAAAATCACTCTCAGGCTCTCTCGCTCTCGATACTAGATACAAGGCAAGATCGCTCCTAATCTTGCAAAATTGAAATGTGCTTCCATAAAGTCTTTCTCTCAGCAATATATATAGAAAAGATCACCCTCAGGCTCTGTCGCTCCCGATACTAGATACTTGACATGATCACTCACAAATGCTCTCTATTAATGATGCAAACTTGAATTGTGCTTCCTCAGAAAGTCACTCTTAGTACTATATGTACATGCTTCCTAAGGCTGACTCTTTCAATACTAGATACTGAAGGGATCATGCTCTGTCTTTCAATACTAAACGTTTGAAAGGATCACCTATGGACATACCTAACAGAACATCAGAAAGCAGAAATAATGACCATATTTCCGGCAACTGCCAATGTAACCTACCCTTCAGTTGCAGGTACGCTGCCGCGCTGGTGGATCTTCTGGTGTAGGAATCCTTCATGTGAGTTAAGTATTTAAAACACGAAGACGTGTCTTCATCAAACACTATAGAAAGACAATTCACGTTATAAAAGCAATCCACAGCACATGTCAAGTAATTGTTCGCTTTGTGGCTTCCTAAAGAATACACTTCGTACACGAATCTGTCCAGAGATAGTGACTTTTCAAACTGATCTATTCCACAACTGCCATTCATGACGAAATATGAAAAAACTCCTTTTGAAAATACCACAAAATTGAAAAGGAACGCACACCAAATGATAACCATTTCGGAGAATTGTGAAGCGGTTATTCTTCTAAATAAAACAGAAGATCTATATACATTCGATGTTGAGAGAAAAGGTATCCAGAGTGTATACGGACGAGGAGAGGCCACACAGCGCCTGACTAAACATCCAACTGTTTAAAATCAGCTCTTCTTGAAGGGTTCGGAGATCAATCGGCATGTCACCGATCAATCAGCAAACGCATACGCAGGGAGTCGTTTAGGTCTATTCAGAAAGTCAACAAATCAATGATTCATCTTCTTAGGCTGTACATTGTTGTTTACTGCTCGGGAATATTTTAAACCTCGACCAGCACCAATGCACTCATATCCGCATGAAGACGTGCACAAATATCCCAGAATAAATAGATTGTTATATTTTTAAGATAATTGTAACTGTAACTCTTGATATGATGCGTTGCTGTACATTTTTATTATATTACACTGTTTGTTTTTGGTTTTTTGTTGTAATAACCATTTATCTAGTAGCTTTTGTTTTGATGATTTAATATAACAGCTCATGTACCACTGTTAATGGCGTATTTTAGTTAATTAAAGAACTTGAGAGCTTGAACTTGATATAAGCTGTACACGCATATCCAATTTGTAAAAATCATACGTTTTAACAGGATAGGCTAGTTGTGTGAGGTCCCAAGACGTCTACCTCGAGATGTTTCATTGTTCATTCGATAAAAGAAGACCCGTGAAGATCCGGTTAGAATTGATCTACAGAAACTCATGCTTGTGGTTAGAGGCGATTAGCGTGGTCGGGTGGTCAGGCTCGCTGATTTGGTTGACCATGTCATCGGTTCCCAATTGCGTGGATCGATGCTCATGCTGTTGATCACTGGATTGCCTGGTCCAGACTCGATTATTTACAGACCACCGCCATATAGGTGGAATATTGCTGAGTGCGGCGTAAAACTAAACTCACTCACTCACTTGGTATAGAAATTCGTGAGTTGTCATTGCTCTATCTAACTCAAGTGACTGATAAAAAGGATATAATGTCATAGTACAACAACACTATAATGCAATGAAAGAATCATCTCTACAGACTGGAACTACAGTAATCTACGTTTAAAGCGAACACGTTTTTAACGAACTGACGGATATGACGAGCAGGGTTTTTTCCTACCGGCCACTTGCTTCATAATTTACTTGATATGCATATAACGAACTACGGTTGAAACGAACTAAATTAGTGGCCCCTTATAACCAGAGTATACTGTAAATGGTTTATGAAATAACTTAAACACATCATTCAAGAATGGTAGTTTTAAAACTGACAAAATGGTTTGTAAATAAATACATTTCAAGACAAATCTTATGCATAACAACTTCTTTGTTTGTTTACAAGGACGCTTCTGGGCTACTTCTTGCCCCTTCTAGTCCTTGCCCCATTCTTCAGGTGGATGTTGGACACTGAAGAAGGGGCAAGAACTAGAAGGCGAAAGAACTAGAAGGCGAAAGAACTAGAAGGGGCAAGGACTAGAAGGAGCAAGAATTAGAAGGGGCAAGGACTAAAAGGGGCAAGAACTAGAAGGGGCAAGGACTAGAAGGAGCAAGAACAAGAAGGAGCAAGTACTAGAAGGAGCAAGAACTAGAAGGAGCAAGAACTAGAAGGAGCAAGAACTAGAAGGAGCAAGAACTAGAAGTAGCAAGAACTAGAAGGGGCAAGGACTAGAAGGTGCAAGAATTAGAAGGAGCAAGAACTAGAAGGAGCAAGAACTAGATGGAGCAAGAACTAGAAGGAGCAAGGACTAGAAGGAGCAAGAACTAGAAGGAGCAGGAACTAGAAGGGGCAAGGACTAGAAGGAGCAAGAACTAGAAAGAGCAAGAGATAGAAGGGGCAAGAACTAAAAGGAGCAAGAACTAGAAGGGGCAAGAACTAGAAGGAGCAAGAACTAGAAGGAGCAAGAAGTAGAAGGGGCAAGAACTAGAAGGAGCAAGAACAAGAAGGGGCAAGAACTAGAAGGAGCAAGAACTAGAAGGGGCAAGAACTAGAAGGGGCAAGGACTAGAAGGAGCAAGAACTAGAAGGAGCAAGAACTAGAAGGAGCAAGAACTAGAAGGGGCAAGGACTAGAAGGAGCAAGAACTAGAAGGAGCAAGAACTAGAGGGAGCAAGAACTAGAAGGCGCAAGAACTTGAAGGGGCAAGAACTAGAAGGGGCAAGAACTAGAAGGCGCAAGAACTTGAAGGGTTAAGAACTAGAGGGAGCAAGAACCAGAAGGAGCAAGGACTTGAAGGGGCAATAACTAGAAGGGGCAAGAACTAGAAGGGGCAAGAACTAGAAGGGGTAAAGACTAGAAGGGGCAAGGACTTGAAAGGTTAAGAACTAGAAGGGCAAGGACTTGAAGGGGCAAGGACTTGAAGGGACAAGGACTTGACGGAGCAAGAACTAGAAGGGGTAAGAACTAGAAGGGACAAGAACTAGAAGGGGCAAGAACTAGAAGGGACAAGGACTAGAAGGGACAAGAACTAGAAGGTGTAAGAACTAGAAGGTTAAGGACTAGAAGGGGCAAGAACTAGAAGGGGCAAGAACGAGAAGGGTAAGGACCAGCCCAGGAACGTCGTGGTAAACAAATCAAGAAGTTGTTATCCATAAGATTTGGCTTATTTTACTAAACCAACTTCTAAATGCCTTTGAAGAATTTCAATAAATACACTGTCTTCATTAATGTATAGTATGAATTATCATTGTGAATTGTTGGAAATATGAAAGCATTATTGTGAACATGAACCGTTGCCTGTGAAACGTTATTGTGAAACTATTTAACAGTTCCCTCTTACCCATTGTTATGAACATAAACATTAGTGTGAACATGTACATTTCTCCATAAAGCATTATTGTGAACATGTACATTTCTCCATTCAGCAATGTTTGAAATATGAACCTTTCCATCATTGTGAACAGAAAACGTATCTCTATGAAGCGTTATTGTGAACTTGTACATTTCTCCATAAACCCATTTCTCCATTAAAGTTTCATAAATATATTTTATTCCACCAGACTTTACTTTGCAATGAAGCACCTTCATGAGGACATTGTCGCGTTATTGATCAACTACCATGCCCGGCATGTGCCATTGATGGCCATGATCATAAAAATCCATACACAACATTGAGTACCATAGGACATAGGAATCAGACTCCACTGGTTCTCAACATTTCCAAAACGAGCTAACTTCAACATGCAGTAATGCGAGATAGATAAATCGAGCTGTCTTCCTCTCATTCAAAGTGTGCAAAGTCCGTATGAAAACGTCACATTTGAATCCGTACACAACACTGTAATCAATGTGGTACTACTCCAGTTTGCACTAAACATTGTACGTATTGATCCAGTTTTTATAAAGTTCCAAGAGGAACATGTAGCTATTATATGGAAGGTTATGAGAAAGTTACGAATCGATGAAACACAGTAAATGGAAAAGGTCGTTCTGTCGGAACATCTGCATAGTTTCATGTTCCCGGGACAAAGTATATGTACCAATATCAGTTGCTGGTCGGTAATATACATTGATCAATATGGTTCAAAACACAGAGTGGGTTTACAACAAGTAGGTCCCTATTATATATCAGGGTGTCTGGCTGCAAATCCTTGAGTGGGCCGCACAAATATTGTTCGTTCTTTTATTGTCTTTCACAGCCAGCAATATTCAAGTTTAATGTTCATCATCGAGTCTGGGTCGAACAAACCAGTGACTGAGTGAATGGGTCGAATCCAGTGCAATCAACCATATCACCGAGTTGAGCCCTCTGCTCATGTTGTGATGGTGTCAACAATTGAATTAAGAATTGATAAGAAAAAAAATAAAATGTTTACTCGCTGTTTGTGTGTTTGGCATCATGATTAGTGTTTTTTACCTTAATATTGCCTAGTAATGAATTGACAAGTTTATATTTTTTCGGTGAAATCGAATTTTGACGTTTTATCTTTTGCCCGTGGAATATATCTTGTGAAAATGTCGACCGTGTGTATGCAAACATATGACTGAAAAATGTTCCGGCGTGTTGGGATTGATCGCCTTCTGTCAACTGTCGAATGAATGCAAATTCTCTGTTCGATATCGGAATAATGCATAAATCAGAACAAGCCATCTTTGATAACATCTTTCTACGCAAGGCTAACCATTTACGAGGCATAAATAACAGACGTATATGGGTCAATGCCCTTTCCATGTCTCAGATAACAGAACACCAAACAAGCAAAAAACCAAAGCAAGCATTAAAACATATTTAAGATCTGGAAAAAGTATAATTACATTTATACGTTTTCATCCATTATGGTTCTGATTTAATGTCGGTTGAATCAGCAAGCGGACGAGGTATAAACTCGTTGAAACTGATTACCTGCCTCTGATGACACGCTCTTTATCGTGCTTTATACAAGCACTAAAACCCACCCTCATGTCATACAATGTACCTCGAGCTGAAAAACATTAACGTGAATCAAATTCCCCACATTATTGTTTGTTTATCGAGTGAGTGAGTTTAGTTTTACGTCGCCCTCAGCAATATTCCAGTTATATGGCGGCAGTCTGTAAATAATCGAATCTGGACCAGACATCCAGTGATCAACAGCATGAGCATCGATAAACGCACGCAATTTTGATACGATCACATGTGTCGACCAAGTCATCGAGCCTGACCACCCAATCCCGTTAGACACTCTCACGACAAGCATGGGTTACTGAAGATCAATTTTAACCCTGATCTTCACGGGTCTATTGTTTAACGTGAGTGAGTGAGTGAGTGAGTGAGTTTAGCTTTACACCGCTTTTAGCAATATTCCAGCAATAACACGGCGGGGCACACTA